CTGCAGGGCGGCTCGGCGACTCGACGGCTGGGCGGCTCGGCTGCTGGGCGGCTCGGCGGCTCGGCTGCTGGGCGGCTCGGCTGCTGGGCGGCTCGGCGGCTGGGCGGCTCGGCTGCTGGGCGGCTCGGCTGCTGGGCGTATCGGCGGCTGGGCGGCTCGGCTGCTGGGCGGCTCGGCTGCTGGGCGGCTCGGCTGCTGGGCTGCTCGGCGGCTGGGCGGCTCGGTTGCTGGGCGGCTCGGCGGCTCAGCGGCTGGGCTGCTCGGTTGCTGGGCGGCTCGGCGGGTGGGCTGCTCGTAGGAGTAGGCGCGGGGGCCGTAGGAGCAGGCGCCGGGGCCGTAGGAGCAGGGGCCGGGGCCGCTAGGGCGGCGGATCAGGGCCGCGAGGGCGGCGGATCGGGGCCGCGAGGGCGGCAGAGTAGGGGCCGCGAGGGCGGCGGAGTAGGGGCCGCGAGGGCGGCGGATCGGGGCCGCGAGGGCGGCGGATCGGGGCCGCGAGGGCGGCGGAGTAGGGGCCGCGAGGGCGGCGGATCGGGGCCGCGAAGGGCGGCGGATCGGGGCCGCGAGGGCGGCGGAGCGGGGCCGCAAGGGCGGCGGAACAGGGGCCGCGAGGGCGGCGGATCGGGGCCGCGAGGGCGGCGGAGTAGGGGCCGCGAAGGGCGACGGATAGAGCCGCGAGGGCGGCTCGAAGGGGGGCCGCGAGGGCGGCGCGAAGGGGCCGCTAGGGCGGCGCGAGAGAGGGGAGCGCGACTCGGGCAGGGGCTGAGTGCGCTCCGGGCAGGAAAAAAAAAAAACGGTGGGCCCTAGGAACAGTTCCCACGGGGGAACCTGCTCGATACCATGAGAAGAAACAAGGAATGAATGAACTATGAATGAATTGGGTACAAGTAATAACCCTAATTGGGTTGTACCCCTTATGGGCTACCCCACTATAGCCTACACAATATGCATGAGCTATAATGTTCTGACAAGGGCTTACCTAGCTATGGCTCGTACTCATTCCTCGTTTCATTTTCACAGCAATCGCAACCAGTGTAGCCTCCGGAAATGCTGACTGGGACTCGGCTTTGCCAAACAGCCAATCACCGAGCGAGTCACATTTCCTGCCTGGATTGATCATCCGTAGCGCCTTTTTAACCGCTGAAGTCACCCCTTGGGTTTTCGGGCACTCCAAAAGACAGTGTTCCAGTGTCTCAAAACTCCCACAGTGAGGACAGACTGGTTTGCTGCTGAGAAACTCCAGACGCTCCCCTACTTGTAGATTAAGGCAGTGGATCCGCAACAGAACATCTCTTAGCCGGTTCGGGGTAACAAGTGACTCCCGAATCTGAACTGCCCGCTTCCAGTCAATACTTCCACCCCAACGACTCGCCCATTTCTCCCGCCTGTTCTGTCCACTGTTGCCATGCTTCCAGTACTTTCTGAGCGACCTCAGCGGAATTGCTTTTCCTTCCGCCAACAGTTTTGCCCGGAGCTGTAGGGGTCACCCTCTGCCAACCTCGTATTCGTCCGCAAAGCTCATGTTCGGGAGTACAGCCGAAATGAGCTGATTCCTCCAGGCCTCCGGCGCAGCTGCAAAAGCCTTGAGCGCAAGACTTGCTGAGTCTCTCCCCCGCAACTCCCTCTCTAGGGTTTCAAGGCTTTTCAGCATCCCCCTCCCGTCCGCATCTCTTCCAACCAGATCGCCCAGCCTGACATCCCAAAGCCGCTTCGCCGCTTTCTGCCCTCCTACTGGCGTGGTACCTTTCAAGAGAATATGCCTGTTAAATGCGATTCTCTCCAGCAGCAGCTCCTTGGTCTCTCGTTCCTCCGTGGATACCGCTAACGGAGATCGCATGAAGTTTGCACAAGCCAATTTCCACCTCTGACTTTTCCCCTCCCAGGTTTTCAACAGCTTCTCGTGCGCCATAAACGTCTCCACCCCCCTTGGCAGGTCAGCTGCTCGGCGCATCAGCTCCCGCTTTAGCTGGTTCATCTCCGTGAGTACCAGCCCGATCCTTCTAGTTGTTAAGCAGGTAAGCATCGCCTCAGGATTTTTCGCCCCCACTCCTCCTTCCAGTACCGGTGTAAACAGAAGCTCTTTGCTCCAGAGGTTGAAGCACTTGTCCGATGTGACCTTGTTAGCTGACATGAAGTTTTGTGTCATCCTTGTGATGACATTCCAGGTTTGCGCAGGCGGCGGGTACACCTGAGCTTGGGACCACGCAATCGGCAGAATATATCCGTCCATCACCGCTGTCCGGGCCTTAATCGGGAGAAATTGCGGTTGCCATAGCGACATCTTTCCGGCGATTTTTTGAAGCGCCTTATCCCACGTCGGCTGGCAGCTTCCATTCGGCGTGACCCACACTCCCAACAGTCTTTCTGCTTCATTTTCCTCAGCCCATCGAAACCCGTCTGTGCGCCATGTCTTTTTCCCCAGGTTAACTCCCAGTGGCATCACCACCGACTTCCCCTTGTTGGTCTCCAAACCGGAAATGCATTTGAACTCCTCCAACACCTCCTCTGCTCTTCCGATTTGCTGCTTCCCCTGCAGCAGGAGGGTCGTGTCATCGGCGTAACCGATGTAAGCCAACCTTTGGCCAACACAGCTGGTGAGGGAAATCCCTATCTTCCGCTTCATCACCTTCTGCGCCAGCGGCTCCACCGCACAGAGGAAGAGGTAGGGTGCTGAGGGGCAACCCTGCCTCACCCCCGAGACCACATTCACCGCTTCGCCCATCCAGCCATTGATTAGCAAACTCGTCCTCGTGTTCGTGTGCAGACCTTTCACCCAGCCAACGAAACGAGCCGGAAAGCCCATTTTCTCCATCACTTCGAAGATAAAGTCTCGAGAAACCGAGTCAAACGCCTTTTTGAAGTCTACAAGCAGCATAAACCAGTCCTCCGACCCATTTTTGGCTGCGTCGATTATGTCAGCAACCAGCCCCACCGCATCAGACATCCGCCTTCCGGGGATAAAGCCAAATTGTTCTGGTGAGATCACCTTGTGCAGCACTTTCTTGATTCTGCTCGCCAAGACCCGCGCCAGTAGTTTGTAGCTGATGTTTAAAAGCGTGATAGGACGGTAGTTATCCAACTGCTCTTTCGCCCCTTTTTTATGCAGGAGGATTGTCACCGCATCTTTCACGTTGGTGGAGAGCGAGGACGTGAGGGTGAAGTCGCTGACCAACCCCATAACATGCTTTCCGAGTGTGTCCCAGTGTGCATCAAATAGCTCCTTCGGCAGGCCATCTTTCCCTGGTGATTTGTTGCACGCCATTTCCCGCAACGCCTGTCTGACCTCCTTCTCTGTCCATTCCTCTTGCAGACTTTCCGCATCTGAATACAACAGCCTCTTCCCGGCTTCCGGACGCCAATCCGAAGTCATCGTGCGCTTATCTTCTCCGAAGAGGTTACGGAAGTAATCTGCCGCTGCCTCCAAGATCCGTTTCGGCTCCGACACCACCCCTCCTGGTACCGCAATCTCCGCGATTTGAGTCCTGACTTTCCGCGTCTTTATCCTTGCCGACAGATGCGGTGAGGGGACTTCTCCCGTCAACGCCATTTCCACTCCAGCCATGGTGTGCATTCTGTCCCTTCGACACGCAAAATACTCCTTGAGCTGATGTTCCTTTTTACTCAGCCGTTCCTTCAGCAGCAGATCTTTCGGGTGCTGCATGAACTCCTGTCTCAATGCAGCCACCGATGTGGTGAGATGAACGATAGTTGCCCTGATCCTTTTGCTCTCTTCTCTTGCATACGTGAGCAGTGCTGTAAAACCTCCTCCATTTTGCTTTTACTCAACTGCTCCGTACTGTTCTTAATCAGTGTAGAAACCCTCGCTCAAAGTTAGCCACAAAATGGCCCTCTTCGTTCGATACAAGTACGTACTGTAACGAAGTGTTTACGTACAGTGACAGAACACGTGAAATCACGAAACGAAACATTTCCCTTGACCCAACCGGCCCGTGGAGTGGAGATACGCATCAAGTCGTTTCGCTTGTCAAGTTATCTCCGATCGACGATCACGATCTACGTCCCAAAAATCGACGATGCACACGAGTCTCCTTGCGACGGTTGCTGTTGATGATTTTGGCGGGCAGCCACAGTTTTGTTTATGCACGTAATTAAAGCGACGGTGCACATTTGCCACCCAAAACCCAGAACCCTGGCGAACTGTTACTGCGGATGGAAAGTGTCCGCACGAAATCCTGGTTTTCGCCAGCCAGCACTTTCGCGCTGGCAAGCCTGGTTCAAAAAAAAAACTTCTGAACCCAACACTGCCAAAAGTTGCCCGTCGCTTTAAGCAGCAGAAAGGCGACAAAATGAACCTCCGACCTGCCCGCTGTGAAACGACTTTTACAGGTGGTAACATCATTCTCGTTCTTCGCAAAACCTCCAGAGTATCAGAGTGCGATAGAATTCAGAGCACAAACCGTAGCATGCGACATTACCGAACTATCGCTCACCTTCCTCGCGACAACCAGCAAGTTTATGCCAGGTTGATTGCACATCCCCCAACGTTTTACTTTCCCGGGAACTCCATGCAGCATCATCTGAGACTCGAATTGAAACAAATCCCTGTGCCTATGGCTCCCCATTCTTTTATGGCTCCCTCCCTTCTCCAGCCATTCTTTTGTGTGGTTGAGACACTTATCGGTGATGCAGAAAGCGTGGTTTAGCACGGAATGCGGGGCGTAGATTAATGAATGAGAGGCGTGGATCACTCTACTCTGCCACGAGACTCTCATTATGAAGGTCTTATGGTTACCCTTCGCTGCACACACAGTAGTTAATAGCGTCCATATTTATGGTCCCTCTTCTGTTCCTCCCGCACCCACGTGCAAATTTCGTCCAAGCCTGTCAGTAGTTCCGAAATTTCTTAGAAGTGACTCCAATTCCGTCCAAGCCTATCAGTTGTAGTGCCGCGGCGTTGGTACTGAGGGTTTGCCAGCGTCGCCTAGGGTCGCATAGGGTCGCATAGAATCGCACAGAATTGCACGGCATCCCAAAGTTTCAGCATGAGTCGCAGGAGCAACGCGAAGGTGCAGCAGTCAGTGGTGCCGCAGAGAGCTACCGTGCTGTCGTTTGCTTCGACGTTTTCCGTCAACGGGTGCCGAGAATCTCGGTTTCCGTCAACCAGCCACTCTGTCTTAGACACGCCGAGTGCTGGAGAAACGGCGAAATTAGCGAAATTCGCGACTGCTGCGACAGCAGCAGCGGAGGCGACGGCAGCTGCGGCTGCGGCGAGGCTTCCCCCTCCGCGCCTCTCCGCGCTGTCGTGCGGACGATCGTCCGTTTCCGCTGCGACCGACGAAGCCGCGTTTCGCCGAGCAGGCACCGTCGCAGACGACGTTCGGGCCGAAAGAAGCAGCGTCGCCCGCGTGGACGGCGACGGCGGCGGCGACGGCCACGCTGGAGGTCGCGGCGACGGCGACGGGAGCGGCGTGAAAAGCGGCGGAGGGAAGAGGAGTGCCGGCGCGAAGGACGGGCAGGCGCAGCTGGTGTTCTACGTGGGGATTGGTCGGCGGTCGGACGGCGCGGTTCTTGTGGATCATGGGAAGCAGAGGAAGGTTCTCGGAACCTTGCTGTCTGCTGTGATTCTGGAGCTGCCATGCCACGTCAGCAGATACTCGCTGGTACGCACCAATGGCTGGTTAGAACCTGGTAGTTTGTCAGGCTTAGGTTGGTGCGATTACGGGATGGCTATAAGGAAGTGCACCAACCTAAGCCTCCCGTAATGGGGATGCTCATCACTTTACATGGGAGAGGGAGCAATCGGTCACTCTCTCTCTCTCTCTCTCTCTCTCTCTCTCTCTCTCTCTCTCTCTCCCTCTCTCTCTCTCTCTCTCTCTCTCTCTCTCTCTCTCTCTCTCACTCTCTCTCTCTCTCTCATATTCTTCTCCCCCATTTTTCCCACCCCATTTTTTCTCCCCAATTCCTCTCCGCTCCCATTCCTCTCCTCCATTCTTCTCTCTCTCGTTCTTCTCCCCATTTTCCACTCTCATTCTTCTCTCTCTCCCATTCTTTCCTCCCAGCCTTTTCTGCCGTGGTCCCTCCGATCCTTCTCTCCCATTCTCCTCCCCCCCCCTCTTCCATTCTCCTCCCCCCCCCTCTCCCATTCTCCTCCCCCCCTTCTCCCATTCTCCTCCCCCCCCTCTCCCATTCTCCTCCCCCCCCCTCTCCCATTCTCCTCCCCCCCCCTCTTCCATTCTCCTCCCCCCCCCTCTCTGCCATTCTCCTCCCCCCCCTCTTCCATTCTTCACACCCTCTCAGAACTTATGCACCATGACAATCCCGCCTAGAAGCCCTCCTGCTCTCCTCACCCCAGTTCCGCGCCACCCCTCGCCCTTTTGCTTCCTGCCTGCGCTACTTGCTCCGCTTCCACCCTCCGTCCCCCCCTTCTCCCTGGGGGCTACGGGCGCACCAACCGACCTGCTCATCTGGAGTGACTTTTGAGAATTCTCAAAAGTCACTCCGCTCCCACCCTCCGTCCCCCCCTTCTCCCTGGGGTCTACGGGCGCACCCACCGCCCATCTCGCCTGACCGCCTGACTGCCCCTGACCGCCTGGTCCCCTCCCCTTCGTTATGACAGATTGCTCCCTCTCCCACTTGCTTGCTCCTCTTCTTTTTACCTTCCACAATCCCTTCTTCTCCACCCCTCTTTCGCCCCCTCCCAGGGCTACGGGCGCACAAACCTGCTCTTCTCCCCCGCCCCTGACGGCCTGGTCCCCTTCGCCATGTCCCACTGCTCCCTCGCCCGATTGCTTGCCTCTCTCCACCCCTTCCCATCCACCCCCCCACCATCTCCCCTCCCCTCCATCAGGGTTACGGGCGCACAAACCTGCTCTTCTCACCCGCCCCTGACGGCCTGGTCCCCTTCGCCATGACCGATTGCTCCCTCTCCCGCCCCCACGCCTTCTCCCTCCTTGCCCGCGTGCACCACGCCTTCTCCCTCCTTGCCCGCGTGCGCCACGCCTTCCTCTCCTGCCTGCTGCCTGCTGCTTGCTGCCTGCTGCCTGCTGCTTGCTGCCTGCTGCCTGCTGCTTGCTGCCTCCTGCCTGCTGCTTGCTGCCTGCTGCCTGCTGCTTGCTGCCTCCTGCCTGCTGCTTGCTGCCTGCTGCCTGCTGCTTGCTGCCTCCTGCCTGCTGCTTGCTGCCTCCTGCCTGCTGCTTGCTGCCTCCTGCCTCCTGACTCCTGCCTCCATTCCACCCTCCCCTGTGCTCCCTTTGCTCCCCCCCTTTCCCCTCCTCCCTTCTCTCCCCCCAACCAACTCCCTCAGGGCTACGGGCGCACCAATCTGCTCTTTTCCCCCGCTTCGGACGGTCTGGTCCCCTTCGCCATGACTGATTGCTCCCTCGCCCGCCCCCACGCCTTCTCCCTTCTCGCCCACGTGCGCCAAGCCTTCCTCTCCTGCTTGCTGCCCCACCCCTCTCTGGACCTCCCTCTGCCCGTCTTTGATTGGCTGCCGAGCCTGGAGTACGACCAAGGTTCGGCACAGGCCCGGGTACAAGAGCAGCCGCCGGGCCAAGACCAGAGCTCAGGATTGGAACGAGAGGGCACCCACGAGCCGCTGCAAGGCGAGGGACGAATCTCCGGATTGGATGAAGCGTCTGCTACGGATGCTGCTCAAGAAGGCTCGGTCGAGGCGGATTTTGTGTCGACTCAAAACTCGGCTCAAGAGGGCTCGGCCGGCACACAAGAGCTGTTGCATGGCGAGGGACGAATCTCCGGATTGGATGGAGCGTCTGCTCCGGATGCTGCTCAAGAAGGCTCGGCCGAGGCACAAGAGGTGCTGCAGGATCGAGATGAGATTTCCACTTTTGAGATGTCTCAAAAGTCTTCTGAAGCAGCTCAAGAAGGCTCGGCTGAGACACAAGAGGCGCTGCAGGATGAAGGGCGAACCTCTGGGGTGGATGGAGACGCGTCTGGCTCGGATGCTGCTCAGGAAGGCTCGGCCGAGGCACAAGAGGTGATGCAGGACCGAGCTGAGATTTCGACTTTTGAGATGTCTCAAAAGTCTTCTGAAGCTGCTCAAGACGCGTCTGGCTCGGATGCTGCTCAAGAAGGCTCGGCCGAGGCACAAGAGGTGATGCAGGACCAAGCTGAGATTTCCACTGCAGGTGCGCCAGGCACTGGTGTGGATGTTACCAGTGCAGCAGTTACCAGTGCAGCAGTTACCAGTGCAGCAGTTACCAGTGCAGCAGTTACCAGTGCAGCAGTTACCAGTGCAGCAGTCAACAGTGCAGCAGTTGCGAGTGAAACAGTTAGCACTGTAGCCATTGCCAGTGCATCTGCCATGAGTGTAGACGTTACAGATGCAGCAGCGGTTACCAGCGTAGCTGGTACAAGTGTAGGAGTTGCAGATGCAGCAGTTAGTGCAGCCGCTACGACCGAACCAATCACGGAGGAGCAGCACGAGAGCCGAAAATTCAGTGACAGTCAGCAGGCAAGGGAACAGGCTGTGGAACCCAATTTTGCATCTCAGCCGTTCCTTAGGCCCATCCAACGGTCGAGATCATCCTGCCACTCCGCCGCCCTATACCAGGAGCTACTGGGGCCGCATTTAGAGTACCTAGTGTGGGTTGTTCGGGGTAAGCTCCTGCCTAAACCGCGTATGGACCTCTATCCGGACGCGCCGCATGCGTACCTTCTAACAAAGCGGCTTGTAACGAATCCTGCGCTGGCAGACACGCAGGCAGGCGAGGAGGCAGCAGGAGGGGGCGGGGATTCGGATAGGGACGCGGATGGGTCGGGGGCAGCAGTGGGAATGAGTATAAGTACCGGTAAAAAGGCGCTAAGTGCGAGAGAGAGTCTTATGAGTGAGGTTTCTGACGCGCTAAGAGATGTGGAGGATGGGGATTTGGGGGAAGCGCTGGTGGGAAGGAGGAGGGCGAGAGGACAACCGCCGCAGGTGAGGCGGCGGCGGAGCAGATCGGTCGGCGAGGATCTGCTGTTCCGGAGAGAGACGGACGGTGGAGATTCGTCCGTGGGGGAAAACAGGACTAGCGGTTCAGCATATTCCCTTGGGGGTGGCGGTGGCGGTGGTGGTGGTGGTGGTGGTGGCGCCTGTAACGGCAGCAGGGGAGGGGATGGGAGAGTTGGTAGGTGTAGCAGTGGGAGTGGGAGTGGGAGTGGGGAGGCGGATTCAGTTGGGAGTGAGGACGAGGACCTCTGGTACGACTTTCCTCCCTCCAATTCAGGCCTCATGTATGGCTTGGGAAGCCCTGTGGTCTCTACCAGGTCTCGGGCGTTTTCCCGAGCGGCAGGGGATGTGTTTTCTAAGAGTGTGGTGATGAGTGGAGCGATGGGGATGGGGATGGGCATGGGGATGGGCATGGGGATGGGCATGGGGATAGGCATGCATGCTGGGAGGCCGTCGGCACAGCGGCTGAAGCTGCTGCAGTTGTCGCCGCCATCTCTTGCTGTCTCTGCTGCGGCAGCTGGTGGTGGTGGGGGAGCAGGAGGGGCGGCCGCGGGGGCAGGGAACGCAGGGGGGGTTTGGGCAGGTGGGGGATTGCAACAGATGCAGCAGCATCAACACTACCAGCAGCATCAGCAACAGCAGCAGCAGCAGCAGCTTCAGCAGCAGCATCATCAGCAGCAACACCAGCAACACCAGCAGCAGCAGCAGCAGCACGGTTTTCCTCACTCACAGGGCCAGGGTCTAGCCCCCCTAGGCCGTCCTGGTGGTCCCATCTGCTCTCATTCCAATGCTGCTAGCTCTGTCACTCCTCTCTCCTCCTTCCTGTCGCCGTCCCCCTCTTCCTCTCTCCCGCGCTGCCACCCCTCGGCACTAACCGTGGCACCAGCTTGGGGTCAAGCGGCAGTGGCAGGACCTATGCTGTCAGCAGTAGCATCAGGAGACACGGTTTCAGCTGCGAATCCCACAGTAGGCTTGGCAGGAGGCTTGGCAGGAGGCTTAGCAGGTGGTGCTACAGGCTTCTCTACACGCCCTATCGTCTTTGAGAATGAGATCAGCATACCCGAGCTTTCTGCACATGCCAGCTCAGCGGGGACAGCTGCCAGCTCAGCAGGAGCTGAGGGACCAGCGAGAAAACCAGCCACAGATGCTGCAGCTGTTGCTGCCACTTCGGCTACTAATCTTGGTGATTCTGATCTTGGTGATTTTGGCGGCAGCAATTTTGGCGGCAGTGATTTATTAGGTGCATCTCCAGGTGGGGGGGTTGTGGGGGGTGTGGGGGGTGTGGGAGGTGTGGAAAGGAGTGCATCTGGCACTGAGGCAGGCAGTTCACAGGGATCCACCGCCAAGGACGCTTCCAAATTCCGCCGGACCTTCTCCAAGCCTCTCTCGCCGATGCTGCGCGGCGCATGGAACATCTTCCGAAGCAGCACTGCGACCGAACCTGTGGAGTTGCCTCGGACGATGTTCAAAAGCAGCACTGCAGTTGAAGGCATGACAACCAGTGAGGTGGCATATTTGGAGGTCGGCGGGGAGAACACTGCAGCTTCTGCTTCTCCTTCTCCTGCTGCTGCTCCTGCTCCTGCTCCTGCTGCTGCTGTTGCTGCCACTCCTGCTGCAGCCGCCAGTGCAGCTGTTACTGCTGGTGAAAGCACTCCTCACGTGGCATTCGAGCACAGGCTGTCTCTAGCAGCCGTAGGCCGGCGGCGCTCCTTCGCAACGCCAGACAAAAGGAATTCTGAAAATTCTCGCAACAGGAGACGGTCATACACTGGTGGTTTTGGTGCCTTTGGAGGTGGTGGTGGTGGTGGTGGTGACATTGGTGGGGGAGGTGGAAGTGTGGATTCGGGTAGTGGGAGCAAGCGGTGGGGTGGGCTTGCTAACATGAAGCCTATGTGGCCGAGTTTCCGCTCCAAGAAAGATGCACAAGCTGATGATTCATAGTGCTTTTTTTAGGCGCCTAAAAAAAAAAACGTGAAGCCTGTATGTGGCCGAGTATTAGCTCCAAGAAAAATGTCCAGTCTGATGAATCGTAGATTTGTAGTGCTGGTTAGGTAGCAAGTTTAGCAGCACTGTCACACTGCCACCTTATTACGGTATTCCTGTGATGCTCACATCACATTGTGGTTGGGTATGTGTAGCCATCTTCATATGTCTCATTTGCTGAGTAATACGGTAGTAGACATGTAGCAGTGCTTTCCATCCTCACAACTCAGCCTGGCTCCCTAATGTGATGGGTTTTCCTCATTACAAACAGAAGCTCCTAGAGCATCCATCTGCAACACCATTTTTCTCCATGTACAGCTCGTTTTGGATTGCTGCTGTGTTGCACTGCAATGCATGTGAAGATGCAGTGCACAAGCATTCAGTTGCTTATCAATATCATTCTTCTAGCATGCCCAGTCCTGTCCTGTGTAGATGATGAACAAAGAACAACCACTATTACTGTAGCTAAGCATCACCTACCGTTGTAGCTTATCAGATAGCACTTGGCAGTTCTCATTGGGAGATAAAGAATTTTATGCGATGGGTATTTAGATACCAGTACCCTTATGGCAAAAACCACCAGAAAACTATTGAAGTCAAAAGAGTACTAAAATCATAAAATTTACTAAGACGCGAACGGCATTAACTCGCCTCCTATGCTAATGTGGATTCACATCGCTTGAGGCGACTTGGAAAACCCCAGCTAAAATTCCCCTACAAGCGAGCGCACGTGTAAATAACGACCAACAGATAACCCTCAGTCGTCTAAGGCTCTAATCTCCAATTCTTTAGGAGGCATGAAATCTGCAGCCGAAATATGCGGTTCCCGACGATGCGAGATTTTCTTCGGCTCCTCACCTGGACCGTGGATCCAAAACTCAAACTCCTCTGGAGCCGTTCCTGGGAAAACGGCAAAGATCTCCGTCCGCACAGCAGATAGCGACCATTCTTTATCGATCACCACCGTTCCCAACACATTGCCGGCGCACCGTATCTCGATGTCGATCATATTCGTTAGGTCCGCCTCCATTGTGGCTTATCTGGAGGCAGCAGCACATTCAGTAACGGAAGACAGAAACCTTTCTGCTGGCACCAGCAACAACCGCTTCTAAAACGCAACCATCGAGCCTTTCAGTCGAAGCCAATGCAGGATTAAGAACACGCGCGATAAAGGAACACGCCGACAATGCAGGATCTAACGCAATGAATCAGCCTGGGTTACACAGCCCTGACCGCAAAGCAAGGCTGTGCTTGGACGAGCCGCAATACGGGTCTAGAATCCAAACCCTAGAGGCCAAAGGCTAGCAGTACAGGAAGAGGTTTGAAGAGGCAAAATCGGTGGCAGAGGAAGGCTGGAGTAATCAGGGGTGTGGGTGGATGGTGGGGGTGGAGGAGATGGAATTGGATCTTGTTGGTGGTGTTTGTGTGTGGCTCTGTGTCTGCGAACACCGTGTACAGTATTTTCATTACGTGAATTCTGTTCAGATTTGAACAAACGCGTTTTCTACCGGACTGAACGAACGCGGATTCTAACTGAACCGTGTAGAACCCGCTTCAAAGGTGGAACCTTCGGTTCGGAGGGGCACCTCCTGATCGAAAATGAACCACATTTTCAACAAGGTTGCGGGTCATGCCTGGTTCAAGGGCTTGACCAGGGAGAGAATTTCTGCGCCATAGACTGTAGAGGATGTGTGCATGTATCGAATACGTCGCTCCGCTCCAGTCCCATCAAATGTGGATGAGAAGAAACGAACTGTGGTAACCCGTAAATCGCAACAAGCGCGCGAAACGGACTAAGTGACATAACAGAGATATTGTACACGCGTGTGCTACCTCAAGTCAAATAGAATATCGATGCAATACAAGCCCACATCGAGGGTGACAACTTGATTTATCCAGAAGAAAAAAGAAGGGTGCCCCAAGTTGGTTATCTACTTATTTTCCATGAGGTTACGGGTATGCTATATCAAGGCTGTGGAAAACATGTGCTTCACTCCAATAAGGCCGTAGGAACACGCCCTAAGTGATACATAGCATTCTACAACATAGTCGTCAAAACCATAATGCATCTCATATCATTGTAGCTCCAATGGAGGATCTTCAGTGCCCCATCTGAGATCCCTCTCTTGTGTCACGTTCTTTATAAGAGCTCGATGCTGGAGAATGTCACTTTCAAAACCTCTTCTCCCCCCACAAACCACAGTGCCTCCAATGAAAAAATCCGCTTGTGCACAAACCAGCTTATCCAAGATTGCCAGCAGTCCTGCACGCACTCGAACCACACAGAGGTACACATCAGACCAAACTCGTGGAAATGCCAATAGAGATACAACAGCTTTCCCTCGGTGCACTATCGAGTGAAACAACATGCCTGTTGAGTGATTCTTGCAGCTGAAACCTGCTGATAGAATCACAGAAAGAAAGGAAGGCTCAGCTCACATGCAGCATGCAGCATGCAGTATGCAGTATGCAACATGCAGTATGCAGTATGCAACATGCAGCATGCAGTATGCAGTATGCAACATGCAGTATGCAGTCTGCAACATGCAGTATGCAACATGCAGTATGCAGTATGCAACATGCAGCATTTCAGTATGCAGTATGCAACATGCAGTATGCAGCATGCAGTATGCAACATGCAGTCTGCAGTATGCAACATGCAGTATGCAGTATGCAACATGCAGTATGCAGTATGCAACATGCAGTATGCAGTATGCAACATGCAGTATGCAGTATGCAACATGCAGTATGCAGTATGCAACATGCAGCATGCAGTATGCAGTATGCAACATGTAGTATGCAGCATGCAGTATGCAACATGCAGTATGCAGTATGCAACATGCAGTATGCAGTATGCAACATGCAGTATGCAGTATGCAACATGCAGCATGCAGTATGCAGTATGCAACATGCAGTATGCAGTATGCAACATGCAGTATGCAGTATGCAACATGCAGCAGCATGCCCAAGCAGAAGACAAAAGCAACAACCAGGACACATGGATTTTGAGTTTCAAGACGTCTCAAATCTTTGAGCTTCATTATTGAGTTGACTCAAGTGTGTTTTGAGTCGACTCACTCAAAATACACCTCGACTCAACAGCAAAGGCAGCATCTCAGCAAGCAAGCCCATGACACCCACCAGTGCCGTATGAACCGGCTTCTGGGAGCAGCTCATTTTGTTCGAGGTTGATTTTGAGAATTCTCAAAATCAACCTCAAACCGGCTTCTGGGAGCAGCTCGTCTAACATCACTGTCCCCTCAAGAAAGGTTGGTGTTGAGATGAGACGTCTCAGAACCAACCATATTTCAGGTGGCTTTGACTTTTGAGTCGACTCAAAAGTCACCTCGTCTCAGAACCAACCATATTTCAGGTGGCTTTTTGAGGTCTCAGCATGCACGCCACAGGCAAGGCACTCACCAGGGTGGTATGAACCGGCTTCTGGGAGCAGCTCCTCTAACATCATCACCGTCCCCTTTTGAGAAATAAAGAAACTCAGAGTTGTGAGACGTTTAAAATCTCATGCTCTCAGCATGCACGCCAAAGGCACTCACCAGGGTCATATGAACCGGCTTCTGGAAGCAGCTCCTCTATAACCACCGTCCCCTTTATAGACCGCCTCATCAACTGCAACCCCTGCACTGCCGCGTCCACAAGCCTCTCTCGCTCATTTCCCACGCCTCCATATGCACTTATGGTGCTGGCCCAGGAGGCAGAGTGTATGGTGCCATGAGACATGGCCAGGGTGGAAGCCCCATGGTCCAAAGGGCCACCTGGGGAAGGGGCTTTCACAGAAGAGCCTTCCAAGGAGGCGGTATCTGGGGAAGGGCTATCTGGAAGATGACTCGTTTTCAAATGACTATCCAGGGAGGGGTAGGTAGGAGAAGGGACGGGTGCAGTGGAAGGAACGTCGGCTGCGATGTAGACAGATGCGGTGATGCTGCTGGCGCTGCTGTTGGCACTGCTGTTGGCACTGCTGTTGGCACTGCTGTTGGCACTGCTGTTGGCACTGCTGTTGGCACTGCTGTTGGCACTGCTGTTGGCACTGCTGTTGGTGCTGCTGTTAGCACTGCAGTTGCGCTGAGCCTGCAGGATGGTGTGAACTGCCTGCTCCGCACACCACCGCATCAGCTGCACGCCCTTCCCCACGTCGCTCTGCCCATACGGCGCCTTTGCAATCGTCTTTGCCTGCGAGAGTGGGATGACACGGTTGGGTGTGGATCACGGCAGGGGGAAGGACAGATCAAGCCATGCCTTCACCTGCACGCCCTTCGCCACGCCGCTCTGCCCGTACGGCACCTTGCCAATCGTCCTTGCCTGCGAGAGTGGGATGACACGGTTGCACACCACCTCATCAGCTGCACGCCCTTCCCCACATCGCTCTGCCCGTACGGCGCCTTGCCAATCGTCCTTGCCTGTGGTGAGTCGGACGATACGGAAGGAATGAAAGCAGTGGCTTTCCATAAATACCGTTGCCTCTCCACTCCAGACAGCACAGCACACCTGTGATGAGACGACCATTTAGTTGACTCGAAAATCGTCTCATCACATACGGAAGGGATCAAGGCAGCGGCTTTCTATGAACAATCTTAGCTCTCCAGACTGCACAGCACACCACCACTCAATGTGCGAGTCAAGTGTTGAGGCGCCTCAAAAATGAACCATCTTAGCTCTCCAGACAGCACACCACCATTAAATGTGCGAGTCATTCAGACCAGAAAGGACGCCACTCACCACCACTCCTCACCATCACCCACCATTTCTCACCACCCACCACCCCTCTATGCAATCCACTAGGAGCGGTAATGCACAGTTTTGAGTCGATCACTCACCACTCACCACTCTGTGCACGATCCACTCGGAGAGGTAATGCACAGCAATGAGGGGCTTGGGCAGGCGGAGAACGATATGCTGTGCTGTGACCTGCTTCAACAGCATTTATCATCGCTCTAACAACTACTCACTCACCATTCACCACCCCCCATCACCACTCACCACCACTCACCACTCTGTAGGCGATCCACTCGGAGCGGTAATGCACGGCAATGAGGGGCTTGGGCAGGCTGGCAACAATGCGCCGTGCAGTGCGGTGCAGAGGGGTGCTGTAGGGCAGGTGGTGCAGCGCAATGCGGTCTGAGGGGATGGGGAACTCCACTCGCGACGGCCCATGCTTCACCCACACAATGACGTCCTTGTCCCTCCTGCATTAACGCAGGGGTCGGGCCAGGGAGGGAGTGTGAGGGGATGGGGAAGTCCACTCGCGACGGCCCATGCTTCACCCATATAATGACGTCCTTGTCCCTCCTGGATGAACCAGGGGATGGTTGGAATCACAGAGAAAGGGAGACACGTGGGAGTGGCGTGAGTGAGTGTATGGGAGCAGAGAGCAGGCCAGGGAGTGGAGGGGATGGGGAAGTCCACTCGCGACGGCCCATGCTTCACCCATATAATGACGTCCTTGTCCCTCCTGCATGCACGCAGGGGTTGGGTTTAAATCGCAGAGAAAGAGTCACAAGTGGGAGTGGCGTGAGAGAGTGTATGGGAGAAGAGAGCAAGCCAGGGAGTCTGAGCAAGCCAGGGAGTCTGAGCAAGCCAGGGAGTCTGAGGGGATGGGGAAGTCCACCCAAGAAAGGCGGTGCTTCACCCACACAATCACGTCCTTATCCCACCTGGATGATTCACAGGTTGCAAGTTGCACAAGACGCGTAAGAGAGAGTAGAGTAGAGGAAGGGCAATGCGGTCTGAGGGGATGGAGATGGGGATGGGGATGGGGATGGGGATGGGGATGGGGATGGGGATGGGGATGGGGATGGGGATTGGGATGGGGATGGGGATGGGGATGGGAATGGGGATGGGGATGGGGATGGGGATGGGGATGGGGATGGGGATGGGGATGGGAATGGGGATGGGGATGGGGATGGGGATTGGGATGGGGATGGGGATGGGGATGGGAATGGGGATGGGGATGGGGATGGGGATGGGGATGGGGATGGGGATGGGGATGGGGATGGGGATGGGGATGGAGATAGGGATGGGGATGGGGATGGGGATGGGGATGGGGATGGGGATGGGATGGGGATGGGAATGGGGATGGAGATGGGGCCAGTCCAACTGCGAGAGGCGGTGCTTCACCCACACAATTACATCCTTGTCCCTCCTGCATGGCTCACAGGTTGCAAAAACATCCCCACCGCTCACCACGCATGCAGCATGTTGATAACAGCGTCGCTGCGAGCAGGCATGGCGACATCGAGAGTGTTGCTGGCACACGGCACATGCCCCAGCGCATGCACCAGCAGCGGTGCCATCACTCCCCTGTCCCCCCCCACGCCCTCCTTCCCCCCCATCCCCGCGTTGCCCCCCAACCCCGCGTTCCTCCCCACCCCCACCACCATCCCCGCCTGAAACGGTCCTTTCACGATCATGTTGGGCGATTGCACCCACACGAACCCCACGGACGGGCGCGTGAGGGTGGCCCGCGCTGCGAGGAGGTAGAACTCCGGAGACACCCACTCGTACGGGGTAAAGCGGGAAATGTCCCAGTAGGAGCAGATGGGGAGGGGCCGGCCGAGGGAGATGCGGCTGTTGGCTCCCTGGGGTGGCAGAGGGTGGGAAGAAACAATGGGGGAGTGAGAGAGAAAATCAGAGAGAGGAAAACTCTAAATGGGAGGGGGAGGCCGAGGGAGATGCGGGTGTTGGCTCCCTGGGGGTGACAGTGGGTGGAAACAACGAGGAAAAGAGGAAGGGAGAGAGAGGAGAGAAATCAAGAAACACCGAGTAAGCTTGTTTGCACAACCATGAGAACTATCCCTTCGTCACCATGAAGGGTTTTACGGTTCTACTGATCGTTTTCCAGGAAGAATTTTTGTTGCTTTAAGCGCTACTCTTTAGAATTGCTGCTCTTCCATTATGAGCATAGATCCTTGGCACAACCATGAAGATCGATCTGCCCTGAATTTTGAGTCGAGGTGCCTTTTGAGTCGAATCAAAAGTCACCTTGTCATCACCTAAGTTGGAAAAAACGCGTTTTGCGTTTTGTACGATTTTGTATATACGCCAGAGTATATACGCAAAACGCAGGCCATGCGGGGTCTGGTACGCACAAGAATACGCTTGCCCGGGCAGGAAAAAAGTTTTTCCCGGGCAGCTTTTTGGGGTAAGAGGTGGGGATGGGGGGGTGTTGTAACCCCCATCCCCTTTTTATTAATATGAAAGTTACAGGAAAAAAAACCATTTCAACTAATCTGCCACTTCTACTTCCCCCACCTTAATCATGCTACTACCACCCCTCCCTCCCCCTACTCCACACAGGTCCACCATTGATCCCCTGCCCCCCACACATGTATGGTGCCTTCCATCCACTAGTACTCATCGGCCATCACATCATCCTCCCCCTCCTCAGGTTCCTCCACCTCCTCCTCGACGTTGTAGCCAGCCGGAGTGGGGGGCTCCTCGATGTTTCCCTTCACCACCCCCTGCCCTTCAGGGAGCTTGTGCCAATTGTGCGTCACGTACACGAGGTCCCGAAGCTTCTCCGCGCCGAGACGGTTCCGGCGTGCCGTATGCACGGCATCAAACTTCGCCCAGTTCCGCTCGCATGGTGACGCGGACACCGGCTGCGTGAGCATGCGGCAAGCAAGCGTGGTGAGCTCGGGATGTTCGGTCCCGTGCCACGACCACCAGGCCACCGCGGTCATCTTGCCCTCCTTCACTGCCGCACGGTCGGCAATAGCGTCGGGCATGCCGAAGCAGCCCGTCAGGTTTAGGAAGGCAGTGAGGCCTTCCTGGATGACGAGGGAGGCACGGCGCTCGACCCCGTCCTTCCTGGTGATGGTCTGGTCGTCGAAGTGCTTGGACACGAACTTCTTGAAGACCCTCGTGCACTCGAGGTCATGGCGGAAGATGCCCTCTTCCTGGTTGGTGGGGTTGAGGATGCGACCAACCACGTGCATGTCGCACGCTAGCCCGTTGTCCCAGCGGTCCTGCACGATCTTCCGAATATCTCCCACCTCTCCCCTTGTCAGGACCCCTTCTGCGTGCTCGTCGAGGAAGTCGCGGATGTCCTCGGTGAGCTGGAGCATGAGGTCGTAGAGACGACCCATCATGCCCTTTGCATCCGAGTCCGTCTTGCGCATGACAACGAACGGAAGCTTCATCAGCTTCGCGAAGAACTCCGCGCGCGTCCACCACGTGTCATCGAGGATGTTGCTCTTGAAAGTATCTGCCCCAACCCTCTTTGCAGCCGTCATCCACTCGAGCCACTCATCGCTGAGGACCATCTGCGTCAGGCCGGAGCGCACTTCACAGAGGCGGTTGATGGCGATGTAGTTGGTGCCGAAGCGGGTTCCCGCGGGCTTCAGAACCTGCTTCCCCTTGCCGCCGTTCACGAGCTTGCTCCGCATGTAGCCGCGGGTGAAGTGATGGTTGCGGACGAACGAGATGATGGTGTCCCCGCGCGTGACGATGTCCTTCGCCCATCCCATTTTCCCGATGTCCTCCATCAGGAGATCAAGGACATGGGTCGCGCAAGGGATGTGTTCGATGTGGGGATACTCCGTCATCAGCTCCCTGCAGGCCGCCGCGTAATTGGAGCCGCCGTCAAAACACAAGGCGACGACATTCTCCGCGCCAACCTTCTCGATGACGGGGCGCAAGATGCCCGCGATGTAGCCGCCGGTCTTCATCTCCATCTTCGTGTCGATCGACTCCACGAACACGGCTCCGCTATCGTTGATGAGGAGCACATTGGCTTGCGGGCGGCCGGCCTTGTCAGAGAACATGTCGCTTGCAACGGTGACGCCGTCACGACGCCAGCTTGCAGCGATCGGACCGAGTGCCGCCTCAATGCGCTGGCGACATTTTGCAAGACCAGCGCCACCGATGTAGCGTCTCTTCGGCGGCACGTAACCCGTCCCCGCGCGCGCGATGCTGGAGACTGCGTTCCGCCAGAGTGGGTGGTCCGCGTGATGCTCCGGGATATGAAGAGCGGCAAAGAGCAGGCAAAGCACCTCGTCCGCAGCTTGCTTCGCGCACGCGGCGTCGTCGCCGTAGAAGTCGGTCATCCGCGTCTTCTTCTTGTCGGAACCGCCATTGACTGCGCCGACCGCCGCAATTTCAGCCGCACGCTTTGCTTCACGGGCCTTGAACTTGTTCTCGTAAACCGCCTTCACGGCGTCCCGTGCAGTCTTCGGCGCTTCAGTGCAGAGATGCACTTCACGACGGCGCATGCCCGTCCAGCTGGTGATATGCTGCGCGCAGCGGTACGTCCCGCCAACAAACTTGAAGCTGCAGTAGGCACACACCTTGGTGCCGTTCTCCCCCACGTTATCAGCCGGCACCATGAAGTGGCGGTAGACTGGGTGCTTGCTGTCCATGCAGACCAGAGCAGTAACAGAAGAGGTCCCTCCAGCGGAACTACTAGGAGCCTCTGAGTGTGGCGAACGAGAAGTTGTTGCTATAGGAGTAGTAGAAGCCATGGTGGTTTGGGAGGGGAGGTAGCTAGAATAGGAAGCGAGAGAATGAATGACGAGTGAACAAATGCCTCCCTTTATGCCTGGGAGATTGGGTTGGGTTGAGCACCCAACCAGTAAAGTAGCAGTTGGAGGGGATGGTGGAATGCTGTGGTTAATAGGGGTGTGTAACGGTGGAGGGGAGGGGTTGCTGAGGTTTGGAGCTCGAAATTCAAAAATTGAGATCATTTCGCGACATCTGCGACTCGGAAATGAGATCGCCACGTTGCGAGCTTCAGATTGATTTTTTTTTTTTTTTTTTTTTCGGTCTGCCCAAAATTCAACTCGGCGAATTTTCAAACTATACGCAGCGTACGAATTCGATAAGAGTATAAACGCAAAACGCAAAATGAAAGTAGCGTATATTCCAACTTAGGTCATCACCACCATAGATCCGCCCTGTTCTCATCTCATCACCACCATAGATCCGCCCTGTTCTCATCTCATCACCACCATAGATCCGCCCTGTTCTCATCTCATCACCACCATAGATCCGCCCTGTTCTCATCTCATCACCACCATAGATCCGCCCTGTTCTCATCTCATCACCACCATAGATCCGCCCTGTTCTCATCTCATCACCACCATAGATCCGCCCTGTTCTCATCTCATCACCACCATAGATCCGCCCTGTTCTCATCTCATCACCACCATAGATCCGCCCTGTTCTCATCTCATCACCACCATAGATCCGCCCTGTTCTCATCTCATCACCACCATAGATCCGCCCTGTTCTCATCTCATCACCACCATAGATCCGCCCTGTTCTCATCTCATCACCACCATAGATCCGCCCTGTTCTCATCTCATCACCACCATAGATCCGCCCTGTTCTCATCTCATCACCAGCCTGGCCGCCTCCACCAGGTGGTCCCGCACAATGCTCAGCTGCTACAGGCCCTATTGGTCACAGCAACGTGAGACTCTCCCTCACGTTAGGCAGCACCAGGTGTATGAAGAAGTGTTTTGAGACGTCTCAAAACACTTCTTCATACACGTGCCTCCACCAGGTGGTCCCGCGCGTTGATCAGCTGCTACAGGCCCTATTGGTCACAACACAGCAACGTGAGACTCTCCCTCACCTTAGGCAGCACGAGGATCCGCCCTGTCCGCTGTGCCAGCCTGGCCGCCTCCACCAGGTGAACCCGCGCGTTGCTCAGCTGCTCTGTCACTGCCGCCAGCACCAGGTAGCGCCGCTTGGCGAAGGGCTGCAGTAATGGGCAGGCAAGAGGAGAGAAGGCGGGGGAGAGGGGAGTAATGGTTGCCTGCTCAGCTGCTCTGTCACTGCCGCCAGCACCAGGTAGCGCCGCTGGGAGAAGGCTGCAACAACGGGGAGAGTGGGCAGGAAGCAGGAGAGAGGGCAGGAAGCAGGAGAGAGGGCAGGAAGCAGGAGAGATGGCAGGAAAGAGGAGAGAGGGCAGGAAAGAGGAGAGAGGGCAGGAAAGAGGAGAGAGGGCAGGAAAGAGGAGAGAGGGCAGGAAAGAGGAGAGAGGGCAGGAAAGAGGAGAGAGGGCAGGAAAGAGGAGAGAGGGCAGGAAAGAGGAGAGAGGGCAGGAAAGAGGAGAGAGGGCAGGAAAGAGGAGAGAGGGCAGGAAAGAGGAGAGAAGGCGGGGGAAGCCCCTCTCCCAGCGCCGCTACCTGGTGCTGGCGGCAGTGACGGAGCAGCACCAGGTAACGACGCTGAGAGAAGGGCTGCAGCCGTGGGGATAATGAGTTGAGAAGGGGAGAGAGGTGTGGGGTGGAGTGGGGAGGGAGGGATCAGCTGTTCAAAGTAATTCTGGAAAAGAGAAAAGAGGAAAGAGGAAAAGAATGAGGATCATAGGAACAGAGAGGAGAAATTGTGCACCGTACTGTGGGAATGCGGAGTGTGGGATGTGGGGTGTGGGAATTAGGTCTAGGGATTTTGGTGTGGAAATGTGGGGTGTAGGAATGTGGGGTGTGGGAATGTGGGGTGTAGGAATGTGGGGTGTGGGGATGTGGGGTTTGGGAATGTGGGGTTTGAGAATGTGGGGCGTCGCAAAGTGGGGAGCAATTACCGAGTAATTGTTAAACGGCACGCCAGGGATGGGCCAGCATGCTTCGGGCCATTCTGCTCCCCCGTTATAGTCACCACTACCACCACTGCTGCTATTGCTGCTCCCGCCGACGCCGCTGCTCCTGCTGCTGCCGCTGCTGCTGCTCCTGCTGCTAAGACTAGAGATGTCTCCTATACCACGGTTGGTCTGACCAGTCCTGTTTGTTGACACGATGCCATTGATCAAACCACTCTCCACCGCTCTGATTTCATCACATGTAGATCTTATCCCCGCTAAGATGCTCTCCCGTGTAAGATTATTACGCTTCAGCGACGAGATCATGTACTTGCTTGTAGGTAAACGAGCCATGACGCCATTCAGCCAACCAGGAGAGCACACGTGGCCCAGGTCGCCACGTGCTTGAACTGCATCCAGTTGGATTTCTGCCGAACGTGATTGGTTAAACTCCCAGTGAGGATTGTCCTCGCTTTTGAGAGCCCCGCTACGGCCGCCGTGGTTACTGCTGCTCACGAAGTCTCGTTTCGCTGCTTCTTTCGCCCACTTCTGCAGCGCTGCGCGGAGCTTTCTTTGGCAAGACACAGTACCAGCTGGCAATGAGTTACTTGTAACATTGGCTGTTTCGTACGGTGAGCTGGTTCCCACAGAACCGTTACCACCGATTGTTACACTGCTCAGTACCCGTCTGCACCGCCAAGGTAAGTCGAGCTCCAGATCAGCCGATCTGTCCTGTGATCCCTGAATCAACGGCTGAGATGAACCTGGAAATCTCCACGTTCCCGACCCTTGCTTCCCTTCTAGCGAATTTAGATCGCCGCTGCATCGGGAACTCGACAGCGTGGCGACGTGCACGAATTGAGCCACCGCTATAATCACAATGGCCTGGGCGAACAATTGGCCGAGCCACCGTAACGGAATCCTCCATCGGCCTCCTGACGCGCTCGTTAGAACTGATTGTGAACCAAACCATGACCGTTTGGCTTGACGAAACGGCTGTGTCTGGTTACCTAGAGACTGCTTTCCCTTGGGAACACCGAAATCTCGGGTCACAATAGAGCTGGCGGATTGGGAAGCGGCATTTTCAAGGCGGTTGAAAAGTCGCCCGCTGGATCGTTGAATGCCAGCCATGAGATGCAAGCATCCCTAGGATAAGGACACGCCTAGCTACCGTCCGATTCTCGTTGGACTGCCGGCTCAGTCTAGCCGGAAGTTTTGTGTGACCGTTTGCAGGTCCCGCTTGTACAACGAAGTGAATTGGTTAACACTTTGTTTCAATATGTTTTCGGAATTCATTATAGCAGTATGACCCAGTTTAGGGTTCGGGTACCAGAAACCCAGGTTGGTGGTATTTTCACCCCCAATAGAGTGAAACTGCCAAAAAGGACCCAAATACAACACACATATGAATACAGTTTTGTAATTGTATGTACTGCTTATTCTGTTGAATCCCGAGGAAAACAGATGAAATAAGAAGTTGTCACACAATCAGGATGTAACACTCAATGCATAGAGTAAATCGAGGCACTCGATACTTAAATGTTTCCCATGGTACTGTGAACTGAAGGCCGTGAAACATTTGGCCTGAAGACGATGGTTCAAGATCGAGCCGAACTCTAAAAAGATGGGGTCCTCGAAGTTCTTAAAGCGACGGGCAACTTTTGGCAGTGTTGGGTTCAGAAGTTTTTTTTTTGAACCAGGCTTGCCAGCGCGAAAGTGCTGGCTGGCGAAAACCAGGATTTCGTGCGGACACTTTCCATCCGCAGTAACAGTTCGCCAGGGTTCTGGGTTTTGGGTGGCAAATGTGCACCGTCGCTTTAACGAAAATTTCAAGCCTAATTTGTGAATCTGGAAACCCAATTTTCCGCATCGAGCCTCACGCTCGACCGCAGGCTCGATGCGTTTTGTGTTGTGCAAAAATTCAGTTCAGTAACTTCACAAGGCGTTTCGTCATTCGTCCAAACATGTTCACAGGATGTGCGAAACTCCGCATGTGTACGAGAGGTTATCATGTAGATTTTCGCTGAGTGCAGGTCGTTTCCATTTATGTCTCGCGAATATCATTGCCACGCTATCTCCCCACCAGCAAAGCCAAGCTCGAAGCAGGTTCAATCCCGTTTGACGCTAAATCTCACTCCACATCGCCCAGGCTCGAAATGTCTGCAAATGTACCACGTCCTACGGTCACATGCATTTGGCACTGGGTTCTGTTCTAGTCTCGTTGTCAAGCCCGTAGTAGGCATTAGCACACCAAGAATCTCGTGGAAGCACGAGTTCCAAACACGTCAGAGCGATATTTTGTCAATACCAATGGACTCACGCATGAATCAGTAAAATCTCGTGCGAGCAGGCTTTTCAATCACGAGTTGGTCGAATTCAGTGCAAGAACGAAATCCACCTCTCGAAGTCTTTAGATTAGAACAATGGGGATGCCGGGTGCGTGCTATCACGACCATCCACCGTCGCAATCCCAGCAACCGCAGAGGCCGCTAGCGGGAGCCGCGGGAGAGGAGATGCAGCGACACGCGCTGTTCGGCGGTGCGATTCAAGCGGATTTCCCGCCGCGATTTGAGGTACGGAGGGCCGTTGGTCGAGTGAATCCGTGTCTAAATTTGGAAAGAACACGCCAATATGACTGAGCGAAGCTTTTGTAAGAGAGATTGGTTAATGCTCGTGTAGATTGGTTGGTGATTCTCGGTATATTTCTTGTCGGTTTTGACAACCGCGGTGTGCGCTCCAGCTCAATGTACTCGTTTCACGCACCCTTGTCCGGTTGTAATGCTTATAACGAATGCCTTGACGTTGCTGTGCCTCTCTCTCCTGGCAGGACATCAGCAACTTCCGAGAAGTACCCAACAACCAGGTGAGGTGACGTGACAACCAGGGCGAGGTATTGTAGTGCTTATAACGAATTTCTCGTTTCTTTTCGTCAAACGTCCACCAGAGCCGTTCGTGACTGAATTCCACACTCGTTCCGCAGCCTCTGGTCGATCTTTCTAGGTGAGAAGAATTCCGAGAGAACTTGCTGCAAGGCACACTTTGAGCTACGAGTACCTACCTTCCACAGCAACACTCGTCACATGGGCTCCCCTATTCTTCCCTTTTCCCCTATTCTTCCCTTTCCCGCTATTCTTCCTTCCCCCCACCTTCTTTCCTCCACGCATCCCTCCTCTCCCCCGTGGCCGCTGGGTATCGGAGTTCCGCCCCTCCTCCCCCTCCCCTCCTCACCCTCCCCTCCTCCCCCTCCCCTCCTCCCCCTCCCTCTCCTCCCCCTCCCCCTCCTTCCCCTCCCCCTCCTCCACCTCCTCCCCCCCCTCCTCCCCCTCCCCCTCCCCCTCCTCCCCCCACCCCACCCACCCGCCCCTGGGCTATCAAGAGGTGTTTGCTGATGCCAGTCGGGACGAGAGCATAGTGATCGAGCTGCTATTACCTCACCCTTCCCCCTCTCTCCCGTCTCACCTTCCCCACTCTCTTCTCCCTCTCCCTGTGCTATTAGGAGCATAGTGCTCAAACTGCTGGAGACATTACCTCACCCTTCCCCATCTCCCCCGCCTCACCTTCCCCCTCCTCCCCCCCTTCCCCCGATTCCCCGTGGCTATCAGGAGGTGTTTGCGGATGCCAGTCGGGACGAGAGCATAGTGATCGAGCTGCTAGAGATGAAGGCTGACGTGGCGGACGCTGATTCGTCCAGGTGGTTCCTGGAGGATCTGATGCGCGAGCAGGAGGCACAGCCTGGCAGTGTGAGTGGCTGATGGTGCTGAGGGGAGATTGGAGGGTGGGTGGATAGGATGGTAGGATGGTGGGATGGAGGGATGGTAGGATGGGATGGTAGGATGGTGGGATGGGTTTTTTAAGGTGTCTCAAATTGTAAAGGGTGGGTGCCCTGCACCACACATGCCCTGCACCACACATGCCCTGCACCACACATGCCCTGCACCACACATGCCTTGCACCACAAGCGCTCTGCACCACATGCGCCCTGCACCACGTGCGCCCTACTCCACATGTGCCCTGCCTGCAGCACACGTGCCCTCCTGGTGTGTCAACCCCTAAGCGCTCCTTTCCCATTCGCCGACGGCCCTCATGTGGGCGCATGTCTTTGGAGTCAAGAGAGCTATGCTGCCCCGTTTGAGGTGACTTTTGAGTCGACTCAAGTCACCTTGGCCCTAATGTGGGCGCATGTCTATGGAGTCAAGAGAGCTATGCTGCCCCGTTTGAGGTGACTTTTGAGTCGACTCAAGTCACCATGGCCCTCATGTGGGCGCATGTCTTTGGATTAAAAAGAGCTATGCTGCCCCGTTTCAGAATTCAAAAATTTCGGCGATCTATTTTAACACTTGTCAAATGTGACGGCCCTCATGTGGACGCATGTCTTAGGATTCAAGAGCTATTATTCCCACCCATGTATGACCCACCCATCCGTGTATGACCCACCCATCCGTGTATGACCCACCCATCCGTGTATGACCCACCCATCTGTGTATGACCCACCCATCCGTGTGTGACCCACCCATCCGTGTGTGACCCACCCATCCGTGTGCGACCCACCCATCCGTGTGTGACCCACCCATCCGTGTGTGACCCACCCATCCGTGTGTGACCCACCCATCCGTGTGTGACCCACCCATCCGTGTGTGACCCACCCATCCGTGTGTGACCCACCCATCCGTGTGTGACCCACCCATCCGTGTGTGACCCACCCATCCGTGTGTGACCCACCCACCCGTGTGTTACCCACCCACCCGTGTGTGACCCACCCACCCATGTGTGTCGCACCCATCCGTGTGAGACCAACCAATCTGCAACCAACACCCAGGCTTTGGAATCTGCTGCTCCTATCCCCTCAACAGACTGCCTGCGTTTAAACTGCCAATACGTTCATCCCTCTGTTTGGATTCATCACAGCATTCATATGCAAACCCATCCGCTCATCCCACCCACACCCATACAGGCTTTGGAATCTGCTGCTCCTATCCCCTCAACAGACTGCCCTCACGTGGACTCCTCTGTTTTCAAGAGCTATGCTGTGGGCAGAATGGTAATGTGCCACGTGTGCAGAGATGGTAATGTGCCACATTTACAGAGAATGGTAATGTGCCACGTGTGCAGAGAATGGAAATGTGCCATGTGTGCAGAGAATGGTAATGTGCCACGTGTGCAGAGAATGGTAATGTGCCACGTGTGCAGAGAATGGTAATGTGCCACGTGTGCAGAGAATGGTAATGTGCCACGTGTGGAGAGAATGGTAATGTGCCACGTGTGGAGAGAATGGTAATGTGCCACGTGTGCAGAGAATGGTAATGTGCCACGTGTGGAGAGAATGGTAATGTGCCACGTGTGGAGAGAATGGTAATGTGCCACGTGTGGAGAGAACGGTAATGTGCCACGTGTGGAGAGAATGGTAATGTGCCACGTGTGCAGAGAATGGTAATGTGCCACGTCTGGAGAGAATGGTGATGTGCCACGTGTGGAGAGAATGGTAATGTGCCACGTGTGGAGAGAATGGTAATGTGCCACGTGTGGAGAGAATTGTAATGTGCCACGTGTGGAGAGAATGGTAATGTGCCACGTGTGCAGAGAATGGTAATGTGCCACGTGTGGAGAGAATGGTAATGTGCCACGTGTGCAGAGAATGGTAATGTGCCACGTGTGGAGAGAATGGTAATGTGCCACGTGTGCAGAGAATGGTTATGTGCCACGTGTGCAGAGAATGGTTATGTGCCACGTGTGCCGTCGTCAGAATGGTAATACGCAGCACTTGATCTGATCGCAATAGCATTGAACCCGAAATTCTCAACCGTAACACCTAACCTCTGAGAGACAGGTACAAAGTACAATCACGTATTTGATTTACTGCGTTTTGTGTGGCTGTACTGTACCTTGCTCACGAGGCCTGCTGAAGGCGGATGGAGTTTGTCTCGCCGTCCTAGAACCAGCTAAGTTGATGGACATAAGACCTCCGCAGCCCACCTGTTTACTCATAACAGTGGCTGTACTGTACCTTGCTCACGAGGTCTGTCGAAGGCGGATGTCTCGCTGTAATGTCATTCTGAGATGTCTCAGCTCCCCCTGTCGTACTGCTTCCATGTGGCCCTGTTGTACTGTTGTGCCTGTCACGTTGAATGAACGGCCCTCTCTCTCCCCGTTTTCTTGTGTGTTCCTGCTGAATCGATACCAAACCAGACTGTATCCAAGGGTCGGCAAGGTGCCGAAGCTCTGAATGTGGTCCGGGTAAGTTTAACTTCTTTTTCTTGCGTCCCTTGCTTCCACCACTCACCTTCTGTCCTGTCCCGCTTGCTTTAATTATAGAACTTTCCCACCCCTGCCCCTCCTCCAATTTTTCCCTCTCGCCCCCCGTCCCCCAAACCTCCTCAACCCCTGACGTCCTCCACTCTCCCTCCCTTCCGCCACCAGGTCTGCCTGCCCAATCTTCACCTGTGCAACGTGCACGTTGCACAGCAAAGAGACATGCTTATCCCTCTCAACTCGAGTTCTGAGGCGCCTCAAAAACTGAAACTTCACATTCCCTGCATCTCCCTCACTCACCACCCCCAGGTCTACTTGGCCAATCTTCGCCTGCGCAATGTGCACACAGACGTGCTTATAACAGTCAACGAGCCGCTCTTTATCAGGTACGGATATTCTGTTGCCTGGTAACTGACCTGCGCTACTGAGGCACTCAAAAGCCTTGTATGGTCTCGTAAGTGGTTTTTGAGAGCTCCCAAAAGGCTTGTATGGTCTTGTAACTTGTAAGTGGTTTTTGAGAGCTTTCAAAAGCCCCGTATGGGTTTAGAAGTTCTTGGTGTGTTGTTCTGACTTTTGAGGTTTCTCAAAGGGACGTTATATTTCCATTCTCGCTCCTTCCATTCTGGCCCACTAATCACTACTGATACACTGTTGCTATCACCTCCCTTGTTGCCACAACAATTCATCCTCACCTTTATGGAAATCAGCTACCAGTGAGTAGACTGAGGGTGCGGCACGGCAGCAGCGGGGCCGGCAGGAGTCACGCAGGCTGCAGTGCAGGAGGCAAGCATTTGACCTATTCCTCCCCCTCCCAATTCTCCCCAAATTACCGTTTCTTTCCTATCCTTACATTCCCCTCGTTTCCTCTATCAGTGAGCAGAGTGAGAGTGCGGCAGCAGCGGGGACGGCAGGAGTCACGCAGGCAGCAGCACAGGAGGCATCGGCAGGGGTGCTGGGAGCCACAGCCGGCGGGCAGGTGTTTCAACGGCTGCTTGCCTCGTTCAAGGTCAATGATTGGGGGCTGTTTGGGCCGCAAGAGTAGGAGTTGGGAGGCAGTATAGAAACTGGAGGCAGCAGCAGCAGTGGAGCAACAGTCACGCAGGCAGCAACACAGGAGGCGTCAGCGTCAGCAGGGGTGGTAGGAGATACAGCGGACAGGGAGGTGTTTCAATGGCTGCTTGCGTTCTTCCAGATCAATGACTGGGGGTTGGGCCGCAAGAATAAAGAACCATTGTGTAGCAGAAGCAGCAGGGGAGCAGCAGATAACCAGGCGGCAGCATAGGAGGCGTCAGCAAGGGTGGTGGGAGCGACAGGTGGCGGGCAGGTGTTTCAACGGCTGCTTGCCTCCTTCCAGATCAACGACTGGGGGCTGTTTGGCCACACGAGTAGGAGTGTTGGGAGGAAGTATACGAACTGGGAGGCAGCAGCAGCAGCAGCAGCAGCAGCAGCAGCAGCAGCAGCAGCAGCAGCAGCAGCAGCAGCAGCAGGAGGGAGGAAGCAACACACACGCATGCAGCAGTGCAGGAGGTATCGACTTGACAGCATGGGTCTGTTTTTTTAGAATTCTCAAAAAACAGGCGAAGCCCATGGTTGCATGGTTATCCTCCTGCTGATTTGGGGATGTTTGAGCATGATGATTTGGAGTTTGAACCGAGCAGCAGCTGGAGGGAGCAGCAGGACCAGCTGAGTTAACAATGCAGGATGCATGGATGACAGGGTGAATTGCCATTCTGACACTTACTAACATGCAGGGTTGTCAACAGCATCCTTATTTTTCAGAGCTGTTTGGTTTTTAGTAGCACCCTTTTCAGAAAGAGCAAGTGAGCATATTGTGCCGTATTAGGCTGATATTCCAGAGTGGACTTTTGTACCCAGGTTGATGAGAAAAAAGTATTTCATACTGCCCAGTACGGCCCAACAGGATTCTAGGGGGGTCCAGCAGAGAGAGAGAGATTCTCTTGAGATAGTGTAGTCCTTTGAGGTACGGTCCTTTGAGATTCTCTTGAGATACTGTAGTCCTTTGAGGTACGGTCCTTTGAGATCCTCCTGAGATACTGTAGTCCTTTGAGGTATGGTCCTTTGAGATTCTCTTGAGATACTGTAGTCCTTTGAGGTATGGTCCTTTGAGATTCTCTTGAGATACTGTAGTCCTTACTCAACCGTGGGGCGCACACGAGCATCGCCTTGACTTCATGACATGAGCCACGGTGATAGGCCGCAAAAGGAGCTGTGGTGCCCAAGACTCTGAACCCCCTTCCTCCTCGTCCTCTTGCCCGTTCGCGACTGACTCCAGCCTCTGAGACACTTTCGACTGCCCCATTGAACCTCGCACCACAGTCTACTCCTCAGCCTCATTCATCTTCTTCTCCCTCCCAGCAACCTCAGCCAACGTCAGCGCCGAAACTTGTTTCAAAGAAACAGAAGGTGGTTCTCCAGCCTTCCCAATTCCCCGTCTTCATCTCAGCCTCAAACCTCTCACCCTGTGCCCTCGCCTTCACGTGACCATCCCTCCTCTACCTCAGCCCCTCCTCCAATTACCATAGCAGATGCTCCTGATCTTACGGCCCTTGCTGACGACTCGCACCCACTATCACACTATGAAATTGCTGCTTCACCCTCTCGAGATCCCCCCCCTCCTTCCCCTACCCCTCACTCTACGCAGCCATGCCCACACCCTTGTCCGCCCTCGTCAACCTCCGTTAACCCGTTACCTCCTAATACTTGCCCTACGTGTCGACGCCCCTTTGCCAACTCAGGTTCTACGGCCCGCCACCTTTCAGCCTGCTCTCGCAACACCGCCACACGACAGCAAGCTGCTCGACCCCCTCCTCCCCCCTCATCAGCCCCAACTTAAGCCCCCGCAGCCGCAGATCGACCTTCTATTCCCGAAGCCACATGGGAGGCCGTTCCTTCCTGGGATTGGCCTTCCTTCTTCAGCCCAGCAGTCTCATCTGGCCCTATTCTCCGCCGAATCCCCTCCCGCATCTGACTCCCAATTCTCGATGCACTTCTCATTCTACTGCGCCGCCTTGCACATCATCCTTCTGACGTCGCTGCACACCTCATACTCTTGGCATTTCCGCGTCTCCTACTGCGCCTACCATCTGGCGCGCTGCTCCCACACAGCCCCTTACCTCTTCATGTGCTTCTTTAACGCACCACTTCATCAATGGTGACTGGTATTCTCTTTTCAGCGAAGCCGTAGCTGCAGCCAGTCCAGCAGCCAGACCTATGCACATGGCATCAGCACGTTCTACAGCGCTGCAGGCTCGTCTCAACCGTGCGAAGCGGTTTGCGAAATGCGGGGATTGGTCGCGGTCACTAATAGCACTAGAAGCGGGTGAGCTAGCACCTCCATCATCAGAAACAGCTGCTGCCCTCAGCTCCAAGCACCCACCTGCTGTCGAGATTCCTTTCTGGGTACACAGCTAAACTTCTGCTCCCGCACCACAGCTTACTGTCCCCGTCCTCCACGCTGCTCTACAGTCCGCCCCCCGTAGCACAGGTGCTGGACCTTCTGGGTGGCTCATTGAGCACCTCAGAGACACGTTCTGTCCCACCAACAGCATCTCCCCTCTCTCCTCCACGTCTTCATGAAGTGGCTACAAGGCGACCTTCCACCTACAGTCAGGCCGTTCTTCACCGCTTCGAGCCTGGTCGCCCTACAGAAACCGCATGGTGGTGTACATCCCATCGACATTGGAGAAGTGCTACCATGCCTTCTTTCACGCCGCATCACTCTCCTCTTCAAGCAGCAGATGCAAAAGTCGTTTCTTCCTCACCTTCAGTTTGGCGTAGCAGTTCCAGCAGGCATCGAGGTCATGTCGCACGACGTTTGTTCCGCCTTCTCCCTTCATCCGGACTGAGTGGTGCTGCAATTGGACGTCGCAAACACATTCAATTCCTTCAACAGAGTTATCATGTTTGAGGCATTAAGGCGCTCCCCATTCTCCAGTCTCATTCCCTTCTTCCGCCTATTTTACTCCACCCCTTCACCTCTCCATTACCGCAGCGCCCCCCTTCTCCACACATTCCAGTCAGCTTACGGTGTTCGTCAAGGCGACCCTTGTGGTCCTTTTCTGTATGCCCTAGCGCAGCAACTAGCCATCCAACCAACCCAGCAGCTGCATCCCTCAATTTTCATTACGTCATACGCGGACGATACCTACTTGGTCGGCCCTCCCTCAGACGCCTTTGCCGCATACACTGACCTTACCGCCCGCCTTCTCTCTCTTGGCCTTACTGTCCAACCCTCTGGACTTGCCCGAACACCGCATTCCGCCCTCGGGTATTTCCATCGCTGCAAACGGTCTCACTGTTGCAGGTGTTCCTACTGGCTCAGATGGTTACATCACCTCTACAGTTCGTGACAAACTTGATTCTTTCACTTCCTCCCCCCCCAAACTGCATTGACTGCCGGACCTACAGATTGCCTCACATATCCTTTCCTTGTGCATCAATGCCCGACCTTTCTTCCTCCGAATTGTCGCACATTTTCCCGAAATCTAAGAGTTACTCTCCTCATGGGACTGCACCATTTTTAGCCACTTCTCTCAGCTCCTGGGCTCCGAGTACTGGAATCCCACCTCTGAACAGTACACATCAACCTGACTCCAAGCCTCGCTCCCTATCCGCTTGGTTGGCTTCGACATTCGCGGCTCTGCATCCATTGCCCCCCTCAGTTACCTCTGCAGCTGGGCGCAGACAATTTCGACCTTATCTACCCACTTCATCACCAATGGTGCTCCTCTTTTCCACCGTTACATTACCACAGAATCCATTAACCACCTCAACCCTTCAATCTCATCTACCATGACCATGTTTCCCCAAGACACTCGTGATCGCTTCACATCGTGGTTTGTGCTTCAACCAGGCTACTCTCTTGAACTCTTTACTCACCTCTCCCAACACCTCGAAGCCGATCTGTTGGAGAAGGTTTGAGCCACAGTAACGTCCCCGCTTCGCCTTGCTCGCCTAACCTCTTTGCAGGGCCCGCATGTAGGTGACTGGCTCACTGTGGCTCCATTCTCCCCGCACATGCAGCTTTCAGAGACCGAATGGCGCATTGCAGCAGCTATCCGCCTTGTCAAAACGTTATATGCTTTCTATATTTCTAAGCTATGTAGGGGTTATATTTAGAGGGTACAACAGTTTTCTTGACACTCTTGTACCTCCCCTTTAACCTAATCCACCATCACTTTCTCGCTACTTCTAGCATGGATTCAGAGTCTAGGTACCTTCCTACTCCCTTCCTAGTGTTCTTGGGCCCACCACGCTAGGCTATAACTGCCCGTAGCGCGCTGCCCTAAGAGCGCACTATTCGTTTTGCCCCGCATGTGCTGGTTTTCGGGCTGTCCCTCTAGCGTGATCGCGCTGTCCTGCCCCACCCGCCATCGCGCTGCCCTGCCCTGCCCTGCCCGCGATCGTGCTGCCCTGCCCTGCCCGCAATCGCGCTGCCTGCTGCCTAGCGCATTGCCCGCCCGCGAGCACTCTGCCTGCCCGCAAGCGCCACTACGCCCCTGCCCGCGAGCGCCACTGCGCCCCTGCCCACGAGCGCCACTGCGCCCCTGCCCGCTTGCGCTGCCCGCCAGCAGCCTGCGGCCGGCCTGCGCCCTGCCCGCGCGCACCCCACCCGCACTCACGCGCACCCTGCCTGCGCCCTGCCCGTCCGCGCTGATGCAAGCTGCTGCTGCTGTCACTAACGCAGCTGCTACTGCTGCATGCGCTGCTGCTGCTACTAAGCGCTGCTGCTGATGCTGCATGCGCTGCTGCTGCTGCTGCTGCTGCTGCTGCTAAGCACTACTGCTACACGCGCTACTGCAGCTGCGCTCTACCCTGCCGAGCCCCTGCTTCCACCTGTGCTACTGCTGCTGCACTGCTGCTGCTTTGCTGCGGCTGCTGCTAGGCTGCTGCTGCCGCCTGAGCCGCGCTGCCTTGCCCTGCAGCCAGCGAGCCGCGCTGCCCTGCCCTGCAGCCCGCGCGCTGCGCTGCCCTGCCCTTAGGCCCGCACGCCGCCCTGCCCTTAGAGCCGTGCTGCTCTGCCCTGAAGCACACGAGCTGCGCTGCCCTGCCCTTAGGCCCGCGCGCCGCCCTGCCCTGCAGCTGCTGGCGCTACTGCTGCTACTGCTGCCACTGCTGCTATTACTACGCTAGCTCGTGCCGTGCTGCCCACGCACCCTACTAGCCTCCACAGCCACTCCAACAGTCGCTACTGCTGTTACAGCCACAGCGACCACCAATACTGCTACAGCTGCAGCTACAGCAGTCGCTACTACCGCCTTTGCGCCGCTGCTACTGACTGCCACTACATGTCATGGCCACTATCATGGTCGTAATAGCGTCTAGGGGTGGACAACAGCAGCGTCTGCCTCACCCGGACAATCTATCACCGCAGCAGCTTCGCGAGTGGGTTATCCAGCGAGGCCGTCCTGTTGGTGGAGGTTATCGTGCTGGAGGTGCTGGACAGCAGTGGCAGCCCGTGCATCCAGACACTCTCTCGCCGCAGTAGATCCGTGAGTGGGTAGTTCTGCGCGGCTGTCCAGATGGTGGAGGATATGGTTTTATGGATACTGGACAGCGGCGGCAGCAGAAGACCTTCTCCCCGCAGCGGCTTTGGGACTGTGTTTCTCAGTGAGGCGTCCCAGGTTGTGTAGAGGCTGCTGCTCTAGGTGCTAATGAGTCTGCTGCCGCTCTAGGTGCTAGTGAGTCTGCTGCAGCTCTAGGTGCTAGTGCGTTTACCGCCACTGGTCCTGCCTCAGCTGAGGCCTTGCACACTTTCACACTTGACTCAGGAGCGTCACGTTGCTTCTTTCGTGATGGCACCACAGTCACACCCCTCGCAGCACATGTCCCAGTCTCACTGGCTGACCCCACATGGGGCCCAGTAGTAGCGCGAGCCTCCTCTGTCCTCCCGTGTCCACCAGCCCCCTCCAGCTCAGGCCTCCACCTCCCTTCGTTCTCGACGAACTTGGTGAGCAACGCAGTCCTTCAGGATGTTTGGGTTTATACCTTTATCCCTGGAGGGCAGCGCGTGGCGATTTGTACGTGCTCCCGGACTGGAAGTCACCTTGCTACATTCACTCGGCAGCCTGGATCTAGTCCGTACACCCTGACCACTGCGTCTGCACAGGTGGCTGCGTCAGGTCAGGTGGCTGCGTCGAATCAGGTGTCTGCGTTTGGTCAGCTTGCAGCATCTTGCTCGTGTCGGGTACTTTCCCACCAGACTCTCCTCTGGCACCACCGACTTGGTCACCCCTCTCTGCCACGTCTGCGCAGCATGAACTCCCGTCTCCTTGTCTCTGGCCTTCCCAGGTCTCTGCCCCCCCTCCCGCGCTCGCCTGCTCCGCCGTGCCTTCCCTGTGTCGAGGGGCGGCAGCGCGCCGCTCCTCACTCCTCTGAGTTTCCTCCGACCACTGCTCCTTTGTAGACTCTCCACATGGACGTGTGGGGCCCAGCCCGCGTCAGTGGGACGACTACTCGCACTACACCACGGTCTTCCCCTTGCGCAGCAAGGCGGACATCACTGGTGTTTTGATCCCCTGGATCTGCGCTGCTCGTCTCCAGTTGCGCGAGCGGTTTCGGCGGGACCTTCTAGTCCTACGTCTGCACTCTGACAGGGGTGGTGAGTTCTATTCTGGCCTCCTTGCGGAATTCTGTCGAGAAGAGGGCATATGCTAGACATTCACGCATCCGGCCTCTCCACAGCAGAATGGGATTGCAGAGCGCCGCATTGGCTTGGTGATGGAGGTTGCTCGCACCTCCATCATCCATGCGGCTGCTCCCCATTTTCTGTGGCCGTTTGCGGTCCGATACGCCGTGCATCAGCTCAACCTCTGGCCCCGTGTCTCTGAGCCAGAGACCTTGCCCACACTCCATTGGATGGGAAAGGTTGGCGTGTGTCAGCGTTTCGGGTCTGGGGCGCACTCTCCCTTATTCGCGATACCACCGCGAGCAAGCTCTCTTCTCGCACTCTCCGTTGCGCCTTCCTTGGTTTCCCCACCAACACCCCGCCGTGGCAGTTTTACTACCCTCGCGATCGTCGCGTGTTCTCCTCCCAGGACGTCACCTTTGACGAGTCGGTCTGTTTCTACAGGCTCCACCCGTACGCGTCCCACCCGGTCCCCCTGGCGCCTCCTTTCCTGGTACCAGTTCCTCCCCGGGTAGACCCCCTCCTCCC